TTGGCCAAATTTAGGATAGGGGGACAGAAAGGATGGTTTTAAATAAAGAAAATAACTAGTTTTCTCTCACAGAATTTTAGCAGGAATGTAACTTGGAGCATTTCTCCCAGAGAAGTTATTTATTTCTACATTTATTTCTACAATACTGATGTTATCACTAACAAATGCAGTATCAGCAGATGCTGACACTCTATTTGGCTGTGGTATCAGTGATACCAAAATACCTCAAGGATTTGTTCTCATGTGGACAAAGCCAATGCTCAGCATTATTGTGGTGACTTGGGAAGACAAACACCATCACTCCCTTCCTTCTTCTTCCCCAGCTTCACATGATGTCCTATCATCTGGAATATCCCTTGGCAGAAGAAGGTCAGCCCAGTAACAGTGAAAAACAGCATGACATTAAGAGACCACAGACCAGAATTAAGGGATTGGACTTGGGCATCAGGTGATGGGTGGTTATGGGTATAATTGAGAGGCATGAACAGGGTTTGGGGTCTCTCTGGAGGCACCCAGATCAAGCTGTAACCTAAGAACTCAGACCTTGCTTTCTTAGCAGGATGCTACAGTCGGACCCTACAGTGTCTGGTGTGTGTAAATCTGTACCAGTGAGCACTGCTCAGCAACAATGGAAAGATCCCAGCACAAATCCAAAACACAGGCCCATACCACCTATTGTGAAGAAAAGCAACTCCATCCTAGCCAAAACCAGCACAATTATCCATAAATCTGCCCTCTAGCACTGCTAGGAGATGGGTTTAGTGACATTTTTTGACAGCACTTTATTGTTGTTTCACTTCTTCCCTACAAGACAAAATGTGATGACAGTATCATCTCTAGAAGGTAATTTAGACTGTGACTGTGTAAACACTGTGTTCTAGAGCTTTCTCACTGCCATTAAGCTACTCAGTCTCCTGAGATGCTCCAAGATGAAGGTATGAAGAACGTACAGGATAATTCCAAGTAGTAGAACAACTCTGGAAATAAGTTGCCTAAATATGTGTCTATCATAAGTGGAAATGGAAGATTGATTACACATAGTACTGTCTGCCTACAAGCTTGGCTCCTCTTAAGTGATTTTTGGTTCTGAGTATCTTCATTGCTCCAGTTTTTCTAATGGAGGAACTGCTACAGTGAGAACCTTACCTGAGACTTCCAAATGCTTAGGTATCTTCCAGAAACCATTCTCAGTTCAGCCACTTCTTCTTTGCATTTGTGCATTAACATATAATTTACCAGCTGCTCAGATTTATCTCATATTTTGCATGTGACACAGTCAGATTCCCTCAAAATAGCTTTTTTCTTTTTGCATCGTGCAAGAAATCCTTCTGCTTTGTCATGAACTGGTCTGTTTTCACTATTTCTAAATGCTGCTTTTGTATCACTCTACTGCAATTTTAAGGAATGCTGCTACAGAGGTAAATTTCTTTTTTTACACTGTGCATCTTCTGCTGGACACCTCTCTTAATATAACACATTAATTATGCCTGTGCCAACTACTTATCCACATATTATGCTTATACTTTGCCAGACCAGCTTTAGCTCCTTCCCTTGTTTGCTGACATGAGCACATTTTTCCCTAGTCCAGCACTTATCCGCTGTTCTTCACCCAGTAACAGTGAATTTTTAATTTTTTTAATTACAGATCATAAATAATTAAATAGCTAATTATTGACTTCTCAAATGTGTATGAATTGGCTTTAAAATGTCACTCAGCAACACAGTGGTCTAAAATTGAGCCCTGGGGACTGACCACCAGCCTGATGAAACCCCATTCCCTAAAGTTGCTGTTTCTCCAAGAGTTCTCTAACTGCTGCTCAGCAGCCTTTGGGAATTCAGCAGACACTTTCTCCAAGTTCTCATCCATGGGAATTTTGATTATATCAGGTTGATCATTATTTTTCTTTTAATATAATCCACTGAAGCTTGATACAGAGGTACTTTCCAGTAATTCACCATCCTTTTCTGCTTTCAGGTACCTCACTGGTACATGTGAATAAATTCTCCTCATTTGAGCAGACTGTTTATTAGTGGAGCAGCAAGTTTTCCTTTGCCATTGCTGTATTCCCCCACAGCTAAACACACAGAGGTAAAACCAGTAAATTAGGGAGCAGTAGTTTTTATGCAAACTGTTTGAACTTACCAGAGGTGATATTTATTTCACCCATGTTCCCAGTCAGGTTTAACAAAGATAACAACACCCATTCAGTTATGATTCAAGAGAAATCATTCTAGCTTTATAGGTTTTTTGTTTTATTTAGGAACAAGTTGGATCCCATTACTGGTACGACATTAATTTTGCAATTGCAAAGCATGCTAAAGATAAATTATTAAATATCAGTAATATTGCAGTATCATGGTAGTCTCTTATGCTATACAGCCACATCATGATTCTGCCTCCTGCAGGTCCTAAATCTGTGTCCAAACAGCTCAACACCCTCAGAAATCTTGGTAGTTCTGTGGGAGGGGTCATATGTATATTGAAACCATGAAATACCCCAGGAGCATTTACAAGAGAGTCAGAGTAATGTCAGCTGTTTCCACAAGATGTCACAAGACACTAAAGATCAAGGAAGAAACTAAGCCTTGCAGATATCCATGCAGCATCCCAGGATATTGTGCCTCCCTTCAGATAAAACATCAACAGAATGACCTCACAGAAGTTGTAACCTCAAAGGAATTATGCAGCCTAAGAGATACAGATTATTTGCAATAGCAAACTATAAAGGATGTCCCCAAATACAGTAATTTTGGAACTGTATCATTACTGTATTATCCTTGCACCAAGCTGCTTGAAACTGCTTATGGTGCTGTGTTTTATTAATAAATCAGTATTATCTCTACCCTTGTCCTTATGTACTGGGCAAAGTCTAAATAAGATAGTAACATTCAGTCAAGAAACTCCCTGTACCTTCCATTTAATGTGATTCTTTATGGGTACATCTCTTTCTGCCCTAAATTCTGTGTGAATTATTATTGTGTATTCTGGTAAAGCTCCTGCTCTTCCCTCTCATACTAAGAGATAATTTAGTGGCATTAGCAGAGTTCTGACCAATACAAACCATCAGGCTTGTTGTTTGTAAAGCATATTGGAAACTTTTTTATTGAGGCCATTAATGAATTGATGTCAGCTATGCGTCATCACTCCTGGAAGTGCTCACTCGCTCCCTGTGGGAGCCAACAGCCCTCATCCAAACAGGCAGAGATGAACTTCTGGAGCTAACATTCCCAACAGCAAAACCCATCTACAAGCACGTTAGCAACTTACCTACACAGGAGGCACACGGGCTAAATATGAGCAATGTGTTTATAATGAAGATGCAGCCCCATCATCACTTGATAGTTTACCTGTGCCCTCCACACATCCACACACCTCCGAGGAGTGTCAGGATGACCAGGCACATTCCCTGGCACTGCACTGCAGCAGCAGAGCTGCTGAGCAGCCTGTAATTACAGTTTGGGTTAACAACTTGGGTTAAGCCACTGGCCTGTAATTGGGATACACGTAGGAGGCACCTGGTTGCCATTAATCATGAATTCTCAACTCCCATGTGCCAGCCTGGGGCTGAGGAGCTTTGTCAAGGAGGTGAGGAAGGGAAGGCCCCAAGAGGGGCCAGCAGGACCCCATCCAGGGGGTCCAGGGGCAGCTGAGGGAGCTGGGGGTGTTTAGCCTGGAGAAAAGGAGGCTCAAGGGGGACCTTACTGCTCTCCACAACTACCAGAAAGGAGGGTGTAGCCAGGTGGGGGTCAGTCTCTTCTCCCAGCTAGCAAGTATTAGCACGAGAGGAAACGGCCTCCTCAAGTTGTGCAAGGTGAGGTTGGACATTAGGAAGAATTTCTTCACAGAAAGGGTAATTACATATAGGAATGGGTTGCTCAAGGAGGTGGTGGAGTCACCGTCCCCAGAGGAGTTTAAGACTGGACGTGGCACTGAGTGGTGGTGTTCGGTCACAGGTTGGACTCGCTGCTCTCAGAGGTCTTTTCCAACCAGAACTCCAGTCTTTCCCAACAGAATTCGGCGATTCTGAGAAGCCTCCGAAGCCTCACCGCGCCCGGGACCCGCGTTCCGCCCGCCCCGGGGGGCGGTGATCCCTGTAATCCCTGCTGTAGGGAGCTGTAATCCCGGGATCAGGCCGGTCCCGGTGCACGGAGCTGTAGTCCTAGGAATATCCCTGTGTTTCAGGGAGCTGTAGTCCTCGGATCGGCTCTGTGGGAGTTGTAGTCCCGGGATCGGGCTGTCGGGAGCTGTAGTCCCGGGATCAGACTGTCGGGAGCTGTAGTGCTGGGATGGCTCTGTGGGAGCTGTAGTCCTGGGATCAGACTGTCGGGAGCTGTAGTCCCGGGATCAGACTGTCGGGAGCTGTAGTGCTGGGATGGCTCTGTGGGAGCTGTAGTCCCGGGATCAGACTGTCGGGAGCTGTAGTCCCGGGATCGGGCTGTCGGGAGCTGTAGTCCCGGGATGGCTCTATGGGAGCTGTAGTGCCGGGATCAGACTGTCGGGAGCTGTAGTCCTGGGATCAGACTGTCGGGAGCTGTAGTCCCGGGATGGCTCTGTGGGAGCTGTAGTGCCGGGATCAGACTGTCGGGAGCTGTAGTCCTGGGATGGCTCTGTGGGAGCTGTAGTGCCGGGATCGGGCTGTCGGGAGCTGTAGTGCCGGGATCAGACTGTCGGGAGCTGTAGTCCCGGGATCGGGCTGTCGGGAGCTGTAGTGCCGGGATCGGGCTGTCGGGAGCTGTAGTGCCGGGATCAGACTGTCGGGAGCTGTAGTGCCGGGATGGCTCTGTGGGAGCTGTAGTCCTGGGATCAGACTGTCGGGAGCTGTAGCGCCGGGATCGCTGTCGGGAGCTGCTCCGGGTCAGCTGCGGAGCTGGCCCGGGATCGTGCGGCGTGTCCTGGGATCCGGGAGCTGTAGTCCTGGGATCAGACTGTCGGGAGCTGTAGTCCCGGGATCAGACTGTCGGGAGCTGTAGTCCCGGCTCAGCCCCGCCTACGGCTCCCGGCGGGCCGAGATGGCGGCGCGGCTGAGCGAGAACCGTCTGGTGTCGCTGCCCCTGTCGAGGATCCGGGTCATCATGAAGAGCTCCCCGGAGGTGTCCAGCATCAACCAGGACGCGCTGTTCCTCACCGCCAAAGCCACGGTACCGCCCCGCTCCCCCCGGCCCCGGCCGGGCGGCCTCTGCCCCCGGGGCGTTCGCTGCCCCCGGGCCGCGCTCCCGCTGTCCTCTCCCCGCATCCAGACGTGGAAACAAACCCTGGCCCTCAGCTTCCCCGACCTTAGAATCACAGAGTGGTTTGGGCTGGAAGGAGACCTGGAAGATCAGGGGCACCTTCTACTATCCCAGGTCGCTCCAAGCCCCGTCCAGCCTGGCCTGGAACACTCCCAGGGATGGGGCAGCCACAGCTTCTCTGGGCAAACTGGGCCTCACCACCCTCACCACAGGGAAGAAGTTTTTTTTTCCTGCTCTCCAATCTAAACCTACTTTTTTTCAGTTTGAAGCCATTCCCCCTGTTCCTGTCATTACAAGCCCTTGTAAACAGCCTCGCCCCATCTGTCCTGTAATTTCCCCTTGGGTATTGGACATCCCTGAGTCTCTGCACTGAGTGCCCAGTGTCTGTGTGGTTAAACATGGTTCTTCTGCCTTGAGAGAGGGATCAACTATATATGTGACTTCCTAGTTTGACGATTTGCTCGTTTTCTTTTTTTTTTTTAGGAGCTTTTTGTTCAGTATTTGGCTTCATACTCCTACAAACACGGCAGAGGGAAGGAGAAGAACGCTCTGACTTACACTGACCTGTCTCATACAGCTGAAGAGTGTGAGACGTTTCAGTTCCTTGCAGGTATTGATGTTACGAAGACAAATCTAGTGTGTGATTTAAGCAATGAAATCTTGGTCTTATTGCATTATTTTTTGAGGACCCAGTTCTGCTGCTGGTCATTGATCTCCTGTATAGCATTCAACTGGAACTCATAAACTACATCACTGAAAACATTTCTTTGTGAATTTTTCTGCTGCCTCTGAATTCTACAATTATACTGTGTATAGTTCTCAGGATATTGCCTTAAAAAGGGCTTTATTGTATGGTCCTTCTCTCCTTTGAGATACATGTACACACACGTGTGTGTGCCTGCAGTTTTTAATGGTACTTGGATTTGTGTTCTAATACTGAACTCAAGGATATAAGATGCTCTTAATCCAGTCTTTCTCTGGGTTCCCTGTGGAAATACTTCCAGAGCACACCAGTTCTGCTTTGCCTCAGGTCCATTATTGCCCTGAACAAGTATCTTAATGAAAAAAAGAAAACCCCAAAACATTTCTACAGGGTATAAATTGGAGAGCTGGCTTGTTGGATCCGGGGCAGCTGAGCACTCGGTTTTACATCAAATAAATAATGTACATCAGCAGACAGTAAAGACAATTGCCAGTAATGAGTCATAAAATATACTCCTTATCTTTGGTTACTTGTATCAGAAGTGGGTAATTCCCTGTTACTCTTACAGCTGTATAGGTCAGAGTGTTTTACCTGGTTATTTGAGCTTTGTTAAAAATACTAACATCTATTTTTTACTTCATTTCACTGGTGATTTGGATGCAACAGTGTTAACGAGGCAAATGTGAGTGTTCAAAACTGACTATAAAAGCAACAAATTCTGCCTTCCAGATATCTTGCCAAAGAAGATCCTGGCAAGCAAATACCTGAAGATGCTTGAAAAGGAGAAGAGAGATGGAGAGGTGGGGGAAGGGGAGGAAGAGGACAAGGAGGAAGAGGATGAAGATGAAGCTGTTGGTGACAGTGTTGGATCTTAAGGCCAATGGAGAATTGCTTCATAGTTGAATCCACTTTGATGTTGTATAAAGGATGTTTTTGTGACTGAGAATCCAGATGCTGGATATATTTATACACTGAGCCATCTGCTTTTGCTTTAAGAAGTTTAGAAATTGAACTTTATACTTTTTGAAGAATGGAATTCTTCCCTCAGAAACACGGCGGGGTAGGAGGACACAGAGTGAATCCAACAGCAGAGCTTGCTCAGATGATTTAAAATTACTCTTCAGACAATCAGTACCCAAATTTAAAATTTCTTACAGGCAGCTTTCAGTCCAAAAGCTCCAAAAGTGGACCAAGTCCATTAAGTAAGTCTTTAAAAACAGCTACTTCTGTGATGCAGCCTAAACACCATGTGGGCACCAAAACAGGGTTGTAATGAGCCCATTACAAGGACTAATGTGGTTCTGCAGTTGTGGTGGTAAATGTGTTGGCAAATGATGTAAATATGTACTTCTAGAACCTTTTTCTCTAATGAACTCTGTTTCTGCAGTTTCTTCTTCCAAAATGCACATTGAAGTCTTACTAGACATGAATTCCTGAGAATGAGCAGCTCCTTTGCCATTGGAGTGAGTGACAGAGCTGGATTTTTCATTTGCTTTTGGTTTGTTGTTTTGTGGTTTGTTGGGGTTTTGGGGTTTTTTTGTTACAATAGAAATGGCAGCCCACCCTGTGTGGAACTTTACATGCAACTTTCTAAAATAAATGTTTTGTATGAAAACTGACAAGTTGGTGCAGAAACTTTCTGTTCTTTCCAGCTTCAATCCTGACCATAGTGTAGTAATACTTGCAGGGAGTTCTGGTCAGTCACTGAGAGAGAAATGACCAAGGTCTCCCCCCAGGTGTGGAGAATGCCCCGGGTAAGAATGGGAATGTTTTAAGGAACAGGACTTCCCACTCCAAAAAAGTTGGGCAGTGACCTGCCCCGAATCAGTCAGGAATTTGTTGTCTCAACACCCCATTTTGGCTGCCGTGGTAAAGGGGACTGTCCCTCCTGTCAGGATGACACCAACTGCTTCTCTTGGGTTGAAGGCACATTTAACTGCTCTTAAAACACAGGGCAGAAAGCTCCAGCAGCTCCATAATCCAAACACACTGCAGATGGGGGCTGGGAAAGCACAGGGGAGCTAAGGCAGGTAAGAGCAGGGACTGCCAGAGGAGCAAAGTTACTGAGCCACACCAGAAATGCTACTTTAAAAGATCAAAGGGTGTTCCACCACAGAAGCTTCCCAAGTTGCCATAAATGAAAATGGTATTGTAGCAGGAATGCTGCAGTGAGTGCTGAGTGATGCTGGATCCCTAGAGAAATTCCCCAGTGGCTTCATGCTGAACTACTCTATTGTTGAAAGGGTTGTTTGGAGCTTTTTTTTTTTTTTTAATATTTTTATTAAAAGTGCATGCAGATCTGTGGGAAACTGAGCATGGAATGCTGTCTGTTGGGGGTAGGGGGTGCCAGCAGCAGGATGTGCCAGTTCTTTGGGAAAACAAAACCAAAAAAAAAAAAGGTACTTGCCCATCTGGCCCCAAGGTCAACCCTTCACAACCAGAAATGCCAAACCAGCACATTAACAGAAGCAACTACATTCCAAGTGGGATCAGATGTGCACATAGGCTGACCTGGACACTGGGACACCAGGATAACATTCCAAGTGACACTTCCCAGTCCCCCCTTATCCCTTGCAGGAAGTGAAGAGCCACATGCACAACCTCCAGCTACAAAACACATCACTGAACATGAATTTCCTCGGAAGTGACCAAATATCTTCACCTGTCTGAGGTGTTCAGGGATTTTAGAGAGTGCAACACAGGCCAGGGGATGCTTTCCAGGATGAATCTATTATTATATATTTCTATCTATTATATATTATATCTATTATATATTTCTATTTTTCCCCCTACAGTAATGGCTTGTGAAGTCCTTCCCACTCCCAACCAAAGCTGCTCAAAGACGACGAAACTTCCTAAGCCTGCAAAAAAATGACAAAAGGGCTGTGGTTACTAAGTATAAATCACCCTATTTCATCCCTCTTGGAAGTTTCCTGTGGGATGATGAACATATTCTGTGGATTGCTGAGGCCACAAGAACGTGCACACCCTTCTGGATCCGCTCAGCCAGAATCCTCGATGGGAACTTCAGAGCAGCCAAAATTTGCCACAGCCACCCCCCGAGGCCCTGCAGCTGCCAGAGCTGGTTGCCATCAAACCAGTGAAGGGTTATTTGTTTTCCCCAAGAGCCTGACAGAGCAAAACCACATCCAACTCAAAGCAGGGTTTCAAAAACAAGGGGAAAAACAAACGGAAGGGACAGCTGGGACATTATTTCACATTATTGAGTAAAACCGATCTGTGTTTGCAGGGTTGGGCTCCCAAAGGAAACTCCTTGCAATCCTGTTGGACATCTTCTTTCACTCAGTGCTTTATAGGACACACCAAGTGCTCCCAGCTTTTCCATTTAAAAACTGTCCACTGTAGGAATTCACTCGGAAAGCAACAAAAGGCAGGATTTCAGGCAGGTGGTTTCAAACGAAGCCCCTTCCATAAATAATTCCAGGATTATGACTTGTAAGCAGCTAAAGCAGCAAATATTGTCTCTGGAAAGCTGGGCACAGCAGAGGTCAGTGCACAGGGAAACATCCAGGAACACAGGTGAGTGGTGGAATGCAAGGGAGGGCACTGGGACCAGAGCTTTTGGACTCTCGGGCAACAGAGACCTTCTCTTGTTCAGCCTGGAGAAAAGGAGGCTCAGGAGGGGGCCTCGTGGATCTCCACAACTCCCTGAAAGGAGGTTGTTCCCAGGTGGGGGTCGGTCTCTTCTCCCAGGTAACAAGTGTTAGGATGAGAGGAAATGGCCTCAAGCTGTGCCAGGGGAGGTTTAGTTTGGATATCTGGGAAAATTTCTTCCCAGAAGGAGTTGTCAGGCATTGGAAGAGGCTGCCCAAGGCAGTGGTGGAGTCACCGTCCCTGGGGGACTTTAAAAGCCGTGCAGGGGTGGCACTTGGGGACACAGTTTAGTGGTGGGTTAATTGTTGGACTGGATGATCACAGAGGTATTTTCCAACCTCAACAATTCCGTGATTCTCTACTCACTATGGAAAATCACTCAGGCCATGAATACATCCTGTATTCACAAACCCATGCATGGAACATTGCACAAAATGCAGAAAATGGCCAAATATTACAAAAAAACCACATCAAACAGTATCTTGTAAAGATGAGGAATTTTATTTTATTGACATACTATGAGGCAAAACAAAATTGACACCATACAAAATAACTTTATAAAATATCATTCACATCATTATTTTGTCAGGAATTACAGCATTCTGAGCTTGTTACAAGTCTTATGTTTTGAGGTGAAAAACACTACGCTAAATCTTTAGTATTAGTTGTATATATACAGTAAGAAACCAGAACAGAACCTGTTAGGTTTTTCATGAGTTTATTGCAAAAGTAGTGCAAACTATTTTACCTTGCAAGCTGTAAAACAAACTTGGAAAAGGACCCACCTAAGCTTAAAAACATGACAATAAATGCTCGATTTCACAGCCTTTGAAGCTTCCTTCAAAACAGTTCTCAACAAAAAAAATTCCCCATCTCTGCACCATGTTTAGATTTTCACCGATTTGGAAATGAAGGAGGAGGAGGGACCCGCACAGGGAGCGGGCAGAGAGCGGGAGGGTCCTGCTCTGACACAGGGACACAGCTTTTACCAACGGATTTGGGGAGTTCAGGGAATGTGCTGCACCCCCAAAACACCCACCAACAACAGGGCAAGTCGGGTCACTTTGTCCCCCCCTGTTAATAAGCTGCCCCTTTCCACACTCACATCTGAGAAAAGAGTCAAGAAAGCAGTACGAGCGAGGGGAAAAAAAAATACAATTAAGAATTAGGAACACGTATTGTCTGTTTTAGGAATATAGTATCCTTTTCCTCCTCTTCCTGAAGTCTACGGAAAGCGGATTTCCATGGTCCCCCTCCCCATGGGCACATCCCATCCCAAACCACTGCATGATCCCAAGGCAGGATACCACATCCTACGAGATCCAGAGAAAACAACGGCCTAAAACGCTACCGGGGTCCCCCAAAAGCAAACAGGTAGCTGAGTCACCTCCTTAAAAAAAAAAAAAAATCATAAAAGCAAACAAATGCTACATGAAAAATGTTAAAGAAACAAAATGCAGCATATTCAGGCTCTTTTTTTTTTTATTTTTTTATCTTGAGGTACCTATATAAATATTACCTTCTGCCCAAAGTACGAACTGGTTTTGTTAAAAAAACTAAAGTCCTTGTGATGAGCCAATTGCAGGGCAAACATTATTACTGAGAAAGTGCAACCATGCTGATCATTTATCTGCAGCATATTAAAGGATGATTAGGCTTTAGAAAATATAGCTTAAGTCTAGACCTGATGGAGCAGTTTTATAAAAACACTGAACAGAGGCATTTTCCTTTTGTTCGAGTCTCTCTGCAGCAGAAAGCCTTAGGAAACAGCTTGGAAGTCCTGCCATGATGGAATGTCAGCACTTCTACAATCCCATATACAGATTTTTTTTTCTTTAATATTTAAACTAAATACAATTTTACTGCAAAGATCCCCCTCCCCCCCCCTTTGTAGGTACTGGTAAAAAGTCGTGGGGTTTTTTTTCATTATTATTGTTTTTTAAACTTCAAAAAATGATAGAGTATCACAACTTAAAGCTTTCAAAAAAGGAATTCTTTTGAAGTAAAAAAAGGTTCACATAGTAGAAAAACACACATAGTTGTAAACTTACATACAAAATTGTGGAAAGGTCAATGACATTTTATTCCCTCACCCTTACACGTGTATCCATTCATTTTTAAGTGTATATATATATATATACATGCACACATATATAGTTATGTGCTATACATGTGTGATATATGCATATATAGAGACACACAGTGTATAAATTTGGGGTCAGGATTATACATTTCAAACTTATTTCAATCTTGGCCTAGGTCAGCTGTGATACTGTACATTTTACAACTTGCTACACTGAAAAGCAGCTTCAAATTCGCTAAAACTCTTTTATTTTGTGATTTTTTTTTGCATTTTTTTTTTTTTTTTTTTTACTTGGCGGTTAAAAGCCATTTGCTGCTTTTAATTAAGAAGACGAGTTTTGATTGTTATTCACTGGGGAAAAAAATCCCAAAACCAAAAAAAAAAAAAGAAAAGAAAAAAACCACCAACCACAAAGGCACAAAGAATAAAACTCAAAGCCAAGATTGCTGTCTCTGAACAATAACCCCGAGGTTTTGGGGCGCGGACGTCCCGCGCGGTTTGGTCACTTTTTTTTTTGCCAATCTCCTCGACAATTTGAGCAATTAGCACCCAACTGGTTACATGAGGTAGATCCAAATTAATAAGGAGGAAAAAAAAAAACAAGCTGGGTCCCCAACAATTTTTTTAATTTTTTTTCTGCCTCTATTTAAAATGTTTTAAGGGTCCTGTGTCAGTCATGGGAAGTGGAAGCGATGGCACCGTCTGAGGTGAGCACGGAACTCAAGAATGGCTTCTTTTTTTTTTTTTTTTTGGATGTAAATTTAAAAATCACAATCCTCCTTCAGGCAGAGATTTTGCTGGCAAGGGGAGGAGAGTGTGTTCAACAACAAAAAAGCTGGGATTTGGGAAAGCCTGTTTGGGGTCGGCTGCCAGGGGAACCCCAGAGCCAGTGCCTGAGGAGGCATCACAGTATCGAG